AACCCACAGCCCCCCACCCACCAACCCCATCCTCTGATTTTGTGACCCCATTTGGGGTCATAACCCACAGTTTGGGAACTGCTGCCCTATACGGACACTGAAAACCTAATGAATGCATTCTTGTTTCATTCCTTGGCCGCCAAATATTATTGATCCAGTTTTTCTACTTTAGCCAGCAAGATAAGAGTGCCTATTTCTATATTTCCCTCCTTTGGATCCTGCAACTCATTTTAGTTGTCAGAAGAGCCGGTGGAAACATCAAAACTGAGGACCCCAACTCAGACTTCCAGGTTCGGAAAATGGAGTCTGGACATTTTTGGTTTTATTTCCGCTACTCATTATATAAAATGCTGTAAAATGATTGAAGTTCACAATTAAAGTTATCGAAATAAAAATATAATACTGACCTTATCCACATTCATTCTTTTAAATGATGCTTGCAAAAGTTTGAAGTTGTGAATATATTCATGCTCCAGCTTTGCTTGAAACTTTACTTTCTTCAAGCTAATGCACCCTGGGAACAACATATCCATGAACTGGCAGTAGGCTGCTCCTATAAGAAGACGATATACAGACATTAATTTTGATGCCCCCAGGTGAGACTAAGTGGCATTTATGGCTGGAAGAGAAAGTAGCTATGGTTAATACCTATTGCTGTAATTTATTTTAATGCCAAGCACCCAAGACATGTCCATCCACTACATGTGGACTAGTGTAAATGACATATTAATAAAAAGTACTTCATCCAGTCTGGATGCACTGAGCACTGTTGGGTAACTTATAAAAAGATAACCAGGACCGAGGCAAAGTAAATCATACCTTCCATCTACAACCAATGTACTTAGAGCAGCATGGCTAGGAACAGATGTTGCATTTATCCCTGAATAAGTTGTGCCTGTGTTTATCCCAGAGCAAAAATATCCTCGGATTGGTGTGCATACACATCATCCTTCTAATCAGGATTTAGCGAGTAGCTGAATGTACTGCTGTTTTTCCTTCCAATGAATCACTGAAGCTATCCTAAGATAACAGCACAGATGTATATCCTGGGATAAACCATTCCCACCTTTTAAGGAGACAGATCAAAAAAGGGTTTCATAACCTTAGACAGCACTGAGATGTACTGCAGGTACCTAAATCCTAAGCATCCCTACTCAGCTGCTATCTAAAATTTGGGAAGGGCCCAAATTTATTTTTGTTTCCTTTTTTTGGACCTGAAAGTCTCTTAGGAGCCTGCAGTTCTACCTTGTACAGATGACCAGAGATGTGTCTAAGCAGGTGGACACCTAGCAGCCACCTGAGACCCATTAAGTTCCAGAATCCAGGCAGAGGTGTTTACATCTCTTGTGGAGCCCCAATCAGGTAAGTGTGCTCAGAGCTTACCTTTCATAAGAACATAAGATGTAACATTGGCCTATCCCAGTACCCCATCTCTGATACTGGCAAGAGTGGATGCTTTAGAAGGAAACCACAGAAAGCAGCAAGTTGAGGAAGTATGCACACAAAGGACAACTGTGGCCACTTGTACTCAAAGACAGCATTGGAAGAAGTAGTGTCTGCCTTTTACATAATGGCTACATAGCAAGAGGACTCACCCAAGAAGTGGGAGACATGGCTTATAGCCTCTTCTCTGGCCCATCTCTTCCACCTCCCACAAAACTGTATCCTAACCTGCAAGCTATGGGCCAGACCTTCCTGTTATTGGGTCATGGTACAGAAAGAAATACAAGATGCCAATGGCCAGAGATAGAAGACCAGAAAAAGCTAAACTCATCACACCATGGCTGGGCAATATGTAATCCATGGGAGCCATTAGATCCAGCCTACAGATGTGGGGCTTTGGCAGCATGTCACAGTAGGGAAGAGTGGCAGTGGCAGGAGCTTTCCCAGGGTCACAGCAGGGAGAAGCAGTGGTGGTGAGCCGATCCTAGTGCCTGTCTCTCTTTTACTGGAGCTGGGTCATTCTTGCCCATGGTCTAGAGAGTATCATTCAGGAATGAGAGCTCTCCCTGTGCTGCTGTGGGGAGAAGTGGTGCTGGCAGCTGAGTCCTAGCACCCACCCTTCTCAGACCTGAGCTGGGTCACTCTGGCCTGCAGCCTCAAAAAGTTTGCCAACTGCTGAACAAGTCTCTTTTATATAAAAAGTGGCACCCCGCCCCAACTAGCCATAGGTTAAGAAGAGCAAATCTTGCTCAGTTCTTTTACAGCAAGGGTGTCAAACGCACCTTGCCTCCTAGGCAGGATCCAGACTGTGGGGCTTTTTGTAGGTAAGGCCAACAATGACCACACATGGCAGTGGCCCAAGTGGGGCTATGGTGGCCCAGCCTTCATTTTTCCCCCTACCAGGAATGACCATGCCCAATTTGACCCCACAGCCCTGGATTCTGTGGGAGGCTCCACCCCTTCTTCCTCTGCCCCCAGATCCTGTGGGGATACCAGGAACCCTACAGCCCAAAGGGAATACTCCCTGGGATGGATCCAGGCCATGGTCTGTATGTTTGACACCCCTGTTTTAAAGGACAGGGGCCTACCCCTACCAGCACTGGATTCTGAGTGGACAGGGGCATCTTAATAGCAGTCCTGATTCAAGGTCTTAAGTTAGGGGTGGGCAAAATACTGCCCGTAGACTGGATCTGTCCTACCAGGCAGTTTCATCCGGCTGGGGGTACCTATCAACTAGTTGTCCTCCACCTAGCCCTCACACCTCGTTCTTACCCCAGCCTAGCTTCCAAGCAGGACTGCTGTTGCCACTGCTGCAGCCGCCAGGGGACTGCTCAGCTTTCCCAGTGTCTTCCTTGCTCCTGGCACCAGTTAGGGAAATTGGGGGCAGGTGTGGGGCTGCAGCTGGGTAGGAGCACAGAACTTGGGGCTGGGACTGGCAGTAGTGTGGAGCCCATGCCCAGGGGGGGAATGGTAACATGGAACTAGGGTGGGCATGGTGTAGGTGGGAGGGAGGGTGGGGGGACCTATTCCCACACACTCCCTCCCATAGCGCACAGCCCCTGCCAGTGGCAGCAGCAGCAGCAGCAGCAGCTGGCAGGCAATCAGGGTACTCATAGCCCTTGCAGGTGCTGGCGGTGCGCAGCCATGCAGCCAGTGCTGCACATGGCAGCAAGGCATGCAACCTGGCCAGCTCACCTCTTATCACACAGGGCTCCACGTGGTACACATGCAGCTGCCAGCACTCACGGACCATCAGGGAAAGCCCTGCATGATGGAGCCAGCTGCCTTCACTGCTCTCTGCCGCGAAGGTGCTGGGACTGGAGCTCTGCCCCCTTGCTCCCCGCCCCAGTCCCAGGACCTGCATGGGGCTTCATTGCATGGGACTTTCCCTGGTGCTGTGAGTGTCTGCAGCTGCATGTGCGCCTTGCAGAGTCCCGTGCAATAGAGCAGGCTGGCTGGGCCATATGCAGCACTGGTTGGCACTGCACGCCGCTGGGCAGTGGCCCCTGCGAAGGCCATGAGCATCTGCCACCTGTTGTTGCTGCTGCCACTGGCCAGGGCTATGCACCAGAGGGAGTGTGTGTGTGGGGGGGGTCCTCACACTCCCTACCCTCCCTCACACCCGCACGCTGCCCCCACATATGCACACCCCAACATACCCTATTGCCCCCTCACACACACAGCCACACCCCCTCACAAGCACCCACACATACCCCCCACCCCCAACTACATCCCACATCCCCCACACACAATATATAACAGTAAGACTTTCTTTTTGAGTTATTATGCAATCATATATACACTATGCAAACACAAATCATGACAAAAATATTTTTTGTAATACAATTAAAATATGTTATAGTATGTGTTTGACTTTTAGCATAGGATTTATTTTTTTCTGGTTCCAAGCTGGCAACACCCCCTCCAAAAAGGAGTACTTTGGGGGGTGGGGGAAGGCAAGTGGAGGGACTTTGTGGCAAATGTTAGGGGTTAGGGGTAGGACTTCCGGTTCCAAGCTGGCGATGAGGGGGTGAGGCCCCTGTCAAAGGGTGCAGCTACCCTTGCAACCCTTGACAGTTCACCAAAACTCATTAAGCAGCCCTCCAGCTGAAATAACTGCCTGCCCCTGTCCTAAGTTCTACAGAAGAGCAGAAATGCAGACAAAGCCATGCACTTCTTTTTGCTTAGATCTATGCAACTACTAATGGGGAATTTTTTGATCACCTTTGGAACAACTCCTCATATCCAATATAGGAAGCCTAAGTGCCTAAACTTTGGGTTTGGATTTCACTCCGATGGCTATTTCACTGCTATTTCACATAGCAGGTGGGCACTGAGAGACTTTCTCTTGGATCTCACCCAGACTCCTTTCCCACTTTAAAACAAAGCCACCTAATCAGAACCCCCATACTCTCTTCAGCTGGACCAAGTGAAAACATTTTTTGTCCCCTGGAGCTGAAAGTCCCAAACTACTTTACATCTCAGTACCACGCAGTCCCTAGGTAATCTATTCAATGACCATATATCAAAGCATGGCTTAAAACAGGCAGAAGAGCAAAGACTCAGGGTTACATGACTATAGACAGAAATTATAGGGTGTCAGCCAATGGGATTAAAGTATCCAATGACAAAAAAGTTCAGGGAAATTTTAAGATAAAGCATTAAGAATAAGTCAGACACAGAAACAGAACTATATCTGTGCATGCAGGTAATTGAATGCTTAGTACTATTTTCACATTCAGTTTCAAATGTCAAAAATAAGAATTTTGTGCATTCATGAGAAGTTCTAATGCACATAAATGTTGGTGTGTGCATTTCATAAGTTATCTCAGTTTGAGACTTTTTTTGGCGAATTTTTAGTGTTGTTTAGTATCCAGGTATGGTACTAGATTAATACTCGACAAAGAAGATGGAAAATTTTTAAACTTGACTACATTTTACATCAATGTGCCTCAATCATGTTTTGGAGGGATCAATATTTATGCATCACATAGTTCTCATTTTCTGTACCCAGTCATCCATCATATGAATGGTGACAGAGATTGTGACTCCCAGCAAAGAAAAGAAACAGTTTGAGCTAGGAAAATGAGTTACACAAGATATGAATGAGGCTATCGTGTATGTGACTTTGTCAAGGCTATGGCAAAAGCTAAGATTTAGTGCTGAGCACTGCCACTATTTCTGAGTATCTTTTTTCCACAGCATAACTTAGTAGGTGAAGTTTACAGTAAGGATATGAATTTCCAAGGACACCTCATTCTTAGTGGCTTGTAATGGCTTTGGTATGATCAGAAAGAAAACTAAAGACATCCCTGTAAGAAAAGAGTCCATTGACAAGATAAAAACCATCAGATGAAACGCTTGCATCTATGAATAGGAATAGCAATACAGAGTTTGTATTTAGTGATGCTATCCACTAATCAAAGTTATGTAACATAGTACTGTTTAAAAAGTGAACAGTTAGTAATAATACAAACCATATAATATTCTATTTGGATTTATTTAGAGGTCATTGTGCAACTAATTCAAGATGTAAAGAGTCTGGAATAAACTCCATTCTTCTGTGGTACAGGGTTTCATGGTGCTGAGGTACCCACAATTTTCCCTAAA